GGGGGGGGGGGGGGAGATGATGGGGTGCTTACGGGTGAGCATACCTTATTGGGTTTGTGGGCCGGAAGGCACTGATACTATGTTAACTTGGTGAATTAACTTTATGAATGGGGGAAATGTCCAGATCCGGGCACAATAAACTTACCAGGGTTAGAGCGGTTAAACCTTGCTTTGCTTCAAAAACAACCTCCTATCATGCAGGATTTATTGTACACCTTTCATTAGTAGAGCTCTCGTTGCTCTTCCGGGCTGCTCGAATGTAAACACTGTGGATCTCATAGACCCCAGCATTGCGTTCATCTCTCCGCACCCCCTTTCCAACAGGCCATTCATAAAACACACAGCCTCAGGCTTTATTTTGCGAATGGGCTGGAGGAGAGGAAGGACCACAGCGCCGGGATCTATGAGACCTGCATTGATTAGCTCTACTAATCCCTGCATGTCAATGAGCAGATTTGATGGATGTAGAATTAAATTTACATGATGGGAGGCTCTCTGAATATACACTTTGCTTTCTCTTTAATCCCCACCAGTGTTCTGTAGGATGGGAATGTATACACGGCAATTTGTAGACTTTACTATTGTGTATTTAAAGTCTTTATCTGTCTGTTGATCCCCGTGAAAATGAGAGACACCTGTTCCCATCATGTCATAATGATCCTTGGTGGCAGTGTGGGGGAGGGGAGTTGTGTTGGTTTTGGATCTGTGTGATCACTTGTCCCTTCTCTCGTCCTCTGCCTAGTTTGGTCAATTCCAGATCTGTCAGTGTTTGGGTTGGCAGAGGAGAGCATCCGGTGTCACTGCATGGTCATCCATTCCTGCAGCTCTCTCTCTCTCTGTTATTATGGAGCCTCTCCAGCACCATGTCGGCTCTGCCAGGTCTATCTATGATGCTTCTGCATGTCTTATTCCTGTCACTCTTCATCTCCGGGATACACTCTACTGATCTGTTCTTTTACGCCTGCTGATCTCTGATTCCACTTTGTAAACTTTTCTAAGTCTACCCAAAATATGTCACATGCCTGCAGACGTTCCAAGAAAGAGGGACAAAGTATGTAGGCAAAGACACTCCTGACGTGCCACCAGTTACACTGACGAGAATAAACTTATACACAGAAAATGATGAGAGAAATATTAATATTCTTTAGAAAGTCATGTTTACATCATTACCTATTCTTTATACAGTTTTCTATTTCTGATATATGCACTAACATAGAGCAGGCGTTCTCAACTAGGGTTCCTCCAGAGGTTGCTAGGGGATCCTTGAACAATGACCAACTTCTGCCTCTCAGATAAGTTACCGCTGACACCAGTGATGTGTTTAGATATCAGTAAGGGGAATATTCTTCCCACTGACCCCCAATGTAAGGACTATTCTTCCCACTGACCCCCAATGTAAGGACCATTCTTCCCACTGATCACCAATGTAAGGAGCATTCTTCCCACTGACCACCAATGTAAGGACTATTCTTCCCACTGACCCCCAATGTAAGGACCATTCTTCCCAATGACCACCAATGTAAGGAGCATTCCTCTCACTGATCACCAATGTAAGGAGCATTCTTCCCACTGATCACCAATGTAAGGAACATTCCTCTCACTGATCACCAATGTAAGGGGCATTCTTCTCACTGATCACCAATGTAAGGAGCATTCTTCCCACTGATCACCAATGTAAGGAGCATTATTCTCACTGACCACCAATGTAAGGAACATTCTTCTCACTGACCACCAATGTAAGGAACATTCTTCTCACTGATCACCAATGTAAGGGGCATTCCTCTCACTGATCACCAATGTAAGGAACATTCTTCTCACTGATCACCAATGTAAGGGGCATTCCTCTCACTGATCACCAATGGGGAACCATTTGTGTGTCCTGCTCACTCCAGAAGAATGTCAATGGGACAAAATCATACAGGTGACCCCGGAAGCTTGCCTGGAGTCATATATTTTGGACGGAGCTCCCCTCTGTCAATGTAGCTCTATTCTAACCTGTAGCTTGCAATAATAGGTACATTCTCAGCCTCCTCCACAACATGGTGCTGCGCTGGCTCACTCTTCCACCACTTAGCTGTAAGTCTGCATAGCAGGGCTGTATGGAATATGCCATTCCTCTGAGAATGCTGTGTGGTCCTTTCAGCCTGGCATGCAGTGAATGTTGGCACTCTTGTCTCCTGCATAGCTGTGTACTTGGTTCACGCTACAATGTACTGGGTCATTGTTCTTTATATAAACCTCCCAAATGCCAGACTTATGCCCCCTGAGGGCTGGAATTTGCCCACTTTTATCGCCTCCTACAACACACACATTCCTCATGTGTGCCCCGTACATTCCTTCCCTTCCACATCCTCCTGGCATGGAAGCCGGAATCTGTAGGCAGCATGTGCAGTCTGTGGGATGTCATGTGACCTCAGTCCTGATGCAAGTGCCCCTGCAGAAATAGTCACATGATCTACAATCCACATGACACAAGCTCTCGTGCAATGGGCGCCTGTGAATGAATGCATTAATATTAATAATAGATCACAATAAATGTAGTAATGTACAAAAAAAAATAAGAGTTCATTTACACCATGCACCTTAGGATGGCTTAACGCAAGGGCGCTGCAAAAACAATTGTTCTCTCTGTGCTCTGTTCACCCAATACAAGCGTGTTGTTGTGTGTTGCTTAAAAAACAGCATGATTCAAACTTCTATTTTGAATAAATATCACAAGAATAACTCCAGGTATGTGCTTACCGTGAATGTACTATAGTCTCTTTTTAGGGCTGCATAGAAAAATAATTGTAGGCTTCAGAACATGGAAGTCTCTTAAGGATGAAGGATAACACGGCAGACCCTGACAGAGCCAATGACTTGCTGCTTATGAGCGAGCAGTGGCTAATGCAGGGCCTGGAATGGAGGTTTCCCTCACTGAAAGCATACACACTTCCTGAGCCCTCTGTGGTACTGCCAGTGATTTTTTATTTTTATTATTGGAACAGAGTGTGACAGCTTGGATTCCTTTAGCAGAATTGTGAATTGTTAGGCCTCCTGTACATGCAATAAATAAAGACTTCATTTTTATTTCCACAGCACTTGACATGAGTGCTACAGTGTTAGTTTACAACATTCTCACTCTGAGTGCTGAGGGTTGTGTATATCTGCAGGTGTCTGGGCTGCTTGACAGACAGGGAGAACATGATGTGGTCAGCATTCTTGCAGTTAGCGAAATGACCACTGTGTGGCAGCACAGAGCATGGGACTATATCATGGAGAAACCCTTCCAAAGTGGAAGCTTTGTTTCCTATGAGGACACTTATCTCACATATTCCTCCCAACTTTCTGAGATGGAGGGTCGGGCACCTTTTATCAAAGGTATGTAAGCCCCCAGTTATGCAGACGGTGAAAAACTAATACACAGTGATTAATACCCAATTATAGGTTAAGGTGCAACCCTTTGGTTAAATCAAGCACCAGCTGAGGTCCTGTATATTTTTTCAATATTACAGGTATTTAAATAACACCAAAAATGTACCCAACACTTGAAATCCCTGCCCCTAAGGAGTTGGCAATTTAAGTCCCTGCCCTCAAGGAGCTTACAGTCTACGATCTCCATCTCGCATCCATATACTAATATTATTATTAGGGATGCACCGATAACGATACTAGGCAATACCGAAACATTGGCAAGACCACATATAAACATAATCATGTACTGCCCATACAACCCCCATATACTGTATGTGCCCTCTTTTACCCACTGTTAATCAGATTTACACATTTCCAAGCTTGCAAAACATGGGTTCCTCAAAAAATTCTTAAGGTCAATTGTATCACACAGTGGGACACAGAGTTCTGCTTCCTCATGAGATATGGGGAGAAGATCTATGATATTATACCAGAATTAAAATGAATAAACATTTCAGTATGCATGTAAATCACATCCCTACTCTGTCTAGTGGCCATAATGTGTTGTGAATCTCATTTACGAAAGGCATTACTCTCTGAAAATGTAAGAGTAAGATTTCTGTAGCCACCAGTAAAAAACGTTTTCCTAATCAGCATGCTTGTGCGTGGCCATGGCTCAGAAAGTATTAAAACCAGCGGATCAAAAGAACATCCAGCCAACTATGTTAGCGCCTTATTCCCTCTATGACAAGTGTACTTCATTATGAACCACACTGACATGCTCCTTTTGTCTTCTTTCAGTTAGCATCCAAATATGACCCACAGAAGGAGGCTGAGTTGAGAGAATGGATGGAGAGAACCACCGGCAGGAATATTGGGAATAAATTCATGGAGTCCCTGAAAGATGGAGTCCTGCTGTGCGAGTGAGTGTTTACAAAACCGCAAACTACAGTATTACCAAGACCCGAGGGAGGGGTGATCAATTCTGTCCTATAGTGGTCATAAGCATTAGCAGGCCACTTGTAGACTGGTGGCAAAGTCCATCTTTTGTGGACATTATCAAGTTCAACAGGGTTGGACACTGACCTAAAAAGAAGCCTACTGTAGGGCTTACCTGAATGCAACAACCATTGTGGCATTGCCCAGCTGGCATAATGTTTTTTTCTTCCACCGCTTTGTCCACTCTGACAAGGTATGGCTGCCTTTTATGTCTGTTTGAACTGTTAGGTCATAATAAAAACAACTTAATCGATCTAGTATAAACTTTAATGTCCATGTCACCTCTAACTTATACACTTGATGTCACAGGCATCCTCCCTTTTCAGAGTGGATAGAGCTATGGAAGAAGGTGGTATTAAGTCTGACTGGCAGTGCCACACCCATCATCATGCATTTAGGAATGGCCTACAGTAGTCTTTGTATTGTATTGAAGGTCTGTCATATTAAAGTAGGAAAAGGCTATGAAAAGTGCACTACATTTGTACATTAATGTGCCATATAGCTTTCAATTTTAGGTCTGTCTTAAGGTGCCCATACACTGTACCGTACGAGAATCGCGGGAAATCCCGCGATCGTACGATAATCGCAAAGTGTATGGAAGGCCTTGCGACCGTTTCTACTGTACGGTCGTACGTCTTCCGTCGAACAAGCATGCTGGAAAACCCGCCGAGAGTCATGGGAAGGCCACCCCTCATTGCAGTCATCGTTAGCCCTCCCCTCGGGTGGGCAGGCTTGCCATGATCGCAAGTACGATCTGCCTGTCCAAGATCGTATGTTTTTTTAATTACTTTACAACCCTTGCAAGACAAAAGTCTTGCGAGGGTTGTAAAGTGTATGGCCACCTTTAAGATAATAAGCTCCCCTTTGCCACCCTAGACCATATCTCTTTTGATGTGTGTCTCCAGTCCTCCTTCTCTTGTCTTGGTTTAAGATCAGTTGTTGCCTCATGAGGAGAGGAGGACCTCTTTGGCCTTTGGTGGTAGTGGGGATAGATGACTTGCACTGCTGGTTCCATATACAGTAACCATAATAACCTTCTTCTTTTCATAGGTTAATTAACAAGCTCCAGCCTGGCTCCGTCAAGAAGATCAATGAGTCTACACAGAACTGGCATCAGGTAATCATCCTAGGGGGACATGACAAACCTTTAAATACATTAACCTCTTGCCGTCCGCCCGTAGTAAAAAAACGGACGGACGGCACTGCAGCATCTGCGGGTTGCCGTCTCCAGAGAGTGAGGTTCAGGAGGGCAGTATTTTCAATATGAATATGGGATCAAAAACACAGGGAAGTGACCTTAAAGGAGAACTATTGGGTTAAGGCTTTTCCCCATAGTTCTCCTTAGGGTAACGGGAGGACACAAACTAGCGTCCTCCCGTCACCCTAAGCTCAGTATACCGCGAGCAATAGCTCGCGGTATACTGAGACGCCACAGTATACCGCGAGCTACTGTTCGCGGTATACTGAGACGCCGCAGCTGAAACAGATCCCGACAATTATGTCTGGATCCGCCCAGCTCCGTGACTGACAGCTGGCTCTGCCTATCTAGAGTCAGAGCCAGCTGTACCCGCCCCCTCCCCCGTCCGTTGAAAAATTATGAACCACTTGCTCTTTTCTTGTCATAACTTTTCTTTGTTTCTAATATCCTTCCAATGTTGGGCAGAAAGACCTCTGCTTGGCACAATTCAAACACTGGTACACCCTGACTTGCTTTTCACCATGTTTAACTGCTCCATTGACATGTTGAAACTATCTGCAGGTATATACTGCCTGTATTTTAACTAGGAGGCCAGAAGGACCTCAGGAGGCACATGGAGGGCCAATTGGTCAAGGAAGAGCTCCATTGTTGGCCATTTTGGCTGATCTGCTGAAAGCTGGGAAAGGACACCTGTGTTGAGAATTATACATAGGGTGCTCTTAGTGACCTCTACCCAATACGAGTCTTGACTGTCGTGATGATATAATCATTTTGATCCTTTCTGGGTTACTGACCTGGAGCAAATTTTCAGCAAGTGAAGTCAGAACACCTCATGCATAAGTGGTACAGGTCAATAACGTATAAGCATATGTACAAAGCAATTAGCATTTTCAGAGGGAGAGGTCATAGTAGTTTATTCAGCACGGGTTTCCTTTAAATTGTTCATATACCGTGGTATAGGTTTTGGTGTATTCGTGCTCGTAGTATTATAGATCACCAGTAAAGGGACATCAAAATAAATCGGGTAGTAAATAGAGAGAGAGATTGGATAACAATTATCATTTGTCTGTGGTGGGTGCCTTTAAACCTGAACTATAATAGACACAATGAATTAAGCTTTGTATTTATTAAAGGAGAACTATGGGGTTAGGGCTTTTAAACTAGCGTCCTCCTGTCACCCTAGGCTCAGTATACTGCCAGCTACAGCTCACTATATACTGAGACGCCGCAGCTGAAGCAGATCCCGACAATTATGTCTGGATCCGCCCAGCTGTGTGAGTGACAGCTGGCTCTGCCTATCTAGAGGCAGAGTCAGCTGTACCCGTCCCCTCCCCCGTCCATTCCACCAGTCAGCGCTGGCAGATCGGAGCGGGGAGGGGGGAATCCAGCCCCTCCCCTGTCACAGCAGAGGGCCGTGACAGGATCGAGAGGTGAGCGAACGCCGGTATGTGTTCGCTCACTTCCCGATCTACTGAGCCGACCTGTGACAGTCTCATTGTCACATGTCGGCTAGAACTATGAGGTGAATGAAAAGCACTCACCTCATAGTTCTCCTTTTAAATGTTTTTTTTAAAATACAAGCTGTGTAGGTACCTGAACTGGAACCTGGTATCAGCCTCCTGCAGTCTCTGTATAGCAGGGCTGGCGTGTGAGAGGAAGAAGCAGTAAAATAAGCCAATCAGTTCATGTTCTAACAAGAAACATGCTGATAGGAGGAGAACGCAGAGTGACAGAGAGATGAGCTCATCACTGCACTGTTTCTCCTTTCGTTGTCCAATCACAAGCTGGGGGCGGGTCTAGGACAATCTGGACTCAAAGTGGGCCGAATGACGCTGGCCATCAGACTGAAGACAGAAACAATTCCTGCGGCGGGGGGGAATCTCTGGACTGAAGCTGAATATTGCAGCAAAAGCTGATTTTGTTCTTTTATCTTTTTATTGAGCTATTCATTTTTATCTTCCTATTTTTGGCTGGAGTTCTGCTGAAAGTGTGAGATTATTACATCTTACCTCCAGGCACACAGCTGCATACAGGTGAAATTTAGACATGTGCATTCGGATTCGGATGAACCTGCAAATCAAGGAAACTCAGTTGATTCCGAGGTTCGTCCGAATCCAAGATAAGGAATTTAATATATGCCCGAATATTGCCCACCGCCATCTTGAAGGCAGAGTGCTTGACATCACATGACAGTGACCTCACACACTGAACGAGCGGTGGCCATATCGGCCGCCGGCGTGTGTTGCGCAGGCGCGCCGCCATCGTTGAGTATATCTCAGTATACACCAAGATGGCGGCGCCCGAACATGCGGTTGCCACCCTCTTGGTTTATACTAGGATACACTCTTAGATGGCGGTGCGCACGCGCAGAACGTGCCTGCGGTCGATAAGGCCGCCGCTTGTTCCGCAGTTTTAGTGTACGGTTTCGGATTTGGAGGCTCGTTGCTTCAGAATCCAAAACAGCATAAAATTAGTTTTCTTTGACGAAACGAATGAAGATGTTTTTCGTTTTCCTTTGTTTCGTAAGAAAACAATTTTTTTTTTTGCCGTGCACATGTCTAATATACAGTACATGGGAGTTGCTTTACCTGCCAAAGGATTTGTGTTTACTGTATTGCTCATCCAGTCCTGCGGTTTTCAAAGCCCTGCACCACAGCAGGTCACCTGACTTTTCTCTGCTACCATTATAGCAATGGAACTCACCCCCTGCCTGTGACTGGACAGTAATGGATCCGCAGCAGGCTGATGAGCAGGGCCGGATTTCCCACAAGGCCAACCAAGGCCCGGCCTTGGGGCAGCAGGAAGTAGAGGGGCAGCAGGGGTGTGGAGTACCTATCTCCTGATACCCCAAAACATGCAGTTCCGGGCATCGGGCGGGTAGTTATTTTCCACACTTAGGCCTGCTATGGGCAAATGTACAGCGGGGAAGCCGCTGCTTGTTTTGTACAAGTGATCACTTGTATGCAGCCGGCAGGTCTGCCATTCTTCATAGCGGGGGTTGGCGAATAGGCGGGCGCATTGAGGAACCTGGCCATGGGGCAGCAGAGAGAGTAAATCCAGCCCTGCAGAAGAGTTCACCCTCCTGCTCTCCTCCTATCAGCAGGTTCACCCTATGTGCATTCAGCACTCCTGATTGGTCCCAGTCTGAGTGCTGCTGTTACAGGGGATTACAAGAGGTTCACCTCCGGCCAAATTCAGGCTCAATGGTTTACATGAATGAATACATTTGTAGTTGGAGTTCTTCTTTATGTGCTCAAAGTACTTTAAGGCACTGTTCAATGGAATTGCCTTGGCTTCTGGTGGCCACACACATGTCAATATAATCATTCATGCAATAAATAAAATTATTGATTTGAAGAAGAACCGTAAACCACATACTCTCCATTCAATCAAAGTAGTGAGCTTTCGATCGATTAATGCTGCCAGGTCGACCGACCGTGACGGAATTTAATTGATCGTTATGATCTGATTGATCGAATGGATATCCGTGCGTCAGACCACTGACCGTAATAGAGGTCGATGAAAGGTTTCTGATATTTTCAGTGGGTATTGCATTGTGTGTGTTGCATCGTTCACAAACTGAATCGATCGATTGCAATCACTGGTACCTTTGATCGATCAATACGTGTATGGATACTTTATGGTCACTGTTCCCACTGAGCAAAGGCCGCTGTTAATGTGTTACGTCAGCCATACGATCAATGGTGATAGGACGCTGGTTGCTAACGTTCTAACTGTTCTTTTTTTTGCAGCTGGAAAACATTGGCAACTTTATTAGGGCGATCACAGATTACGGCATGAGGCAACACGATATATTCGAAGCCAACGACCTGTTCGAGAATACAAACCTCACTCAAGTCCAGTCCACACTATTGACGTTAGCTAGCTTGGTAAGTCAATGTGAGCGCTTCAATGCACAAAAATGGCTGCATAGAGCTGCCGGACCACAAGGGGCCCCTACCCATAATTCCCTGGTGTTGTCCACATGGAAGAACGATGATACTTTGGGGTCATTACGTTTTTTTTTTACTTGCTATTCATTTCCAGACCTCTGGGAAAGCGGTGAGGTCACATTAATTACGCACAATACCTAAATAGCGCATTATCTGACACAGGTGAGATGAGCAGGCCGAGACACGTGTACGACATTCAGAGGTGTCTTCTCATTAATAATGGCCTTGGGGCATCTAGAATCATCCAAGCTCAGCTCACGCTTACCGCATGCTTCATTAGGAAAGCGATGCATGACATAATGCCCACACCTATTAAAGGAGACCTGTCATTTGGGGAAAAAGTAAGCTGCCATTGATGACGTTGCCCGGCTGCCCTTAGATCGGGAGCGAGCAGGCAGCAGACGAAGTCAGAACACCCGATTTGCATACTTGTTCTGGGCTAGGGGCGTAGAATGTGGTGAAGCTTTTGGACCAGGCAGATAGTGTTTTTTGGAAGAAGAAGTGAGCGGAGATGCCTCTTTGTTTCTCAGTACAGGTTCCTTGGCTGACCAAAGCTCCAACTCCATTGGCAGAAATGCAGCCCCAGACTTGCAAGGAATCTCCACCATGCTTCACTGTTGCTGCAGACATTCATTATTGCTCGTCAGCCCTTCAGCGAACAAACTGCCTCCTGCTACAGCCAAATATTTCACATTTTGACTCCTCAGTCCAGAGCACCTGCTGCCATTTTTCTGCTGCCTTGTGGGCAAAAAGCCATACCTCCGAAGTGGAAACAAAGCTAATCAACTTAACTATGTATGTGAACATAGGAGCTGGGGTGCAGAAGTAATGCGTATATATACAAAAAGTATCTTGATCCACACATAAAAAAATGGGCACGAGTTTATAACAGCTGCTCAGTGCTCTTTTTGGGTACCAAGTCCCAGGGGGTAGAACACCAAACAGCTCCACACACATGAGTGCAGGCCCATGTGCTCTTAGAAATGGTGCCAGCAGCGTACGTGATGGGCTTTGATGTTGTCTGACCTGTTCCTATCAATGGCTTCCCTAGCACAGGAAACTTACACTGTTCTCTTTGCACTACCGTGGGTTCAGCCTTGGGGCCCATTTACACTTATGTACTCCAGCCCAAACCTAGATAGAGTAGGGAACCTCTGTCAGGTTTTAAAGCCCATTCTAACCTTTTCTTTTTATCACTGTAACACGATCAAGCTGCCAATACAAGCTGTGTTATCATTTGTATTAGTTTTATGCCGCTGTGTTGTGTGTGAGAGCAGTGGTCCGACTCTCCAACATGCTGCCAGCACAGGGCACTTTAGTCCTTGCTGCAGCACAAAACTAGTAAAGAAAACGAATACAGCAGTATATTTATCATTATCACAGACTGACTACATTATAGTAATAAATACAGAAAGTTCAGATGGGCTTTAAATTCTTTACGTGTCCATATACTGTATAGGGGATCTGTCAGCATCACGTACCTGGCTGGAGACTGGTTGGATGAGGAGGCTCCCCTTGCACCTTGTGTCCCCCAAACTCTGAGGATGGGAACAGAGCCTGAGAAACAGCAAGTAGCATGGGTGCCAGTGGATGAGGCAACACCGTGCCAGGCACAAGTCCTTGATCAGGATCGGGTATAGCAGAGCTATATAGGGTGCCAGAGCAGTAGGCAGAATCAAGGTCAGGCAAGCCAGGGGTCACACCAGTCGGGCAGCGAAGTACAAGGGATGAGGCAGAGGCAAAGTCCAGTAACAATTTCAAGGTCAGCAGGCAGGCAGCAATCAGGAACAGTCAGGTTCAATCCGGGTCAAGATGCAGGAGCAGGCAGAGCAAACAGGATCGCAGGGAGCAGCTGAAAGACCATCCAGCAACTAAGCCCAGTCAGTGCTTGCTTTAAAGGAGAACTATGGGGTTAGGGCTTTTCCCAATAGTTCTCCTTAGGGTAACGGGAGGACACAAACTAGCGTTAGCATGCAGTCAAAAATTTAGGGTACAACAGAGCTAAATTGTGGCATTATATGTAGCAGCTATTTTAAAAACACATGACGCAAAAGACATTGGCAAGGAGTTTTCCTTCAAATGTAATGGCAGAGAACTCATCTTTCCGTTCAGCTATAGACGAAGATGGTGTCATTGTCTCCCATAGCTCAGAATAGTATAGTAGACAATCCGCTGGCTTCACACTCCACCTAGTGGTGGCTTTTCAGAATGACCATTTTATATATATATATATATATATATATATGTATACAGTATATTTGTAGTTTGTAGTAAGTAGATTTATAGTTTGTTGGGCAAATTCTGGCCCTGCAGCTGCGGTAAAACTACATTGTCATTATGCATCTGCTTCCGGCATTCCTGTGTCTGTCAGAGTCTTGCAATGTCTCATGGGATTTTTTAGTTTCACCACAGCTGGAGGGGCCGGGGTTTGGCTACCCCGGTACTATACTGTATATGTAAACTCAAATTCTGAACTTCTCTTATTTGCTCCCTTGAGGGCTCGTGCACACGGATGGCTGAGCCGTACAGCCTAAGTTCTGGCATATTTCCCCGTCAGGGTGCTGCAGGGACTACGTACAGCCTCCCATAAAAGTCAATGGCTGTGCAAGTATACGTCGGTACTTGTCTACGGCTGTAAATCCATAGACATAAGTAGCAGGGTATACCCATGTACAGCCATTGACACCTGTGGCTCCCTGGTGTTGGTGGTGGTGGGGGATACACCAAATTTATGCTGCACCGGTTCAGCCACCCATGTCCATGAGGTAAAAGTGCACGTATGAAGGTAATCCTGCCAGAAAGCCAGTCACCTGATAAGCTCCTGTGCTCTCTGCTATCAATCAGCAATATCATCCGCCTTGCCCATTTCTCTCTGTGGATTACAGAGCTCATCTGCCTATGTTATGGAGAAGAGGAAAGGGAGAGGTGTTTTATAGTCCTAACACACTTCCTGTTCTATAGTCCTAACTGTTCTATAGTCCTAGCACACTTCCTGTTCTATAGTCCTAGCACACTTCCTGTTCTATAGTCCTAGCACACTTCCTGTTCTATAGTCCTAACACACTTCCTGTTCTATAGTCCTAACACACTTCCTGTTCTATAGTCCTAACACACTTCCTGTTCTATAGTCCTAGCACACTTCCTGTTCTATAGTCCTAGCACACTTCCTGTTCTATAGTCCTAACACACTTCCTGTTCTATAGTCCTAGCACACTTCCTGTTCTATAGTCCTAACACACTTCCCTTTTTCTAGTCCTAACACACTTCCCTTTTTCTAGTCCTAACACACTTCCTGTCCTAAGGTAACAACACTACTCCTTCAGTTCGGTGTTTCATCGTTGTCACCCTAAGGCAGGAAGTGTGTCACTGACCTGATCATATTATTACTTTTTTGTTCTGGGGCTTGGATACAATTTATAGTAAACCTGTACGGAGCAAACTATGGGGGCTGTCAGTGCTGATCTCCTTATGAAAAAGACCGTTTCTGGTTTTCTGAGTCACTGACCTGGGAGAAGCATGTACCAAGTGAAGTCAGAAGCACTGATATGGAAGCTTGCTGCTCAGAAAGTAGAAGAAAGTACTGAGCGGCATGACAGCCAAGCAGTTATCATTTCCAGGAGAGGCACATAGAGGTTTCCATTGTTGGTGTTGCTGATCTGTCTGGGTGTGGGCATGGCAACGCTGCTGTTAATTGCGAGGCCGTGGCTTAGCATTGTCACCCAACAACAGGAAGTGCTGTTACTGCCAGGATCTCAAGTTAAGAGACCTTCCAACATATTTGCAAAACAAATGGTTTGCTTAAGAAAAGTGAATACAGTAAAAATGATGCCAAACATACCAAAAAAGACATGATGGGTTTACTTCCAATGGCAGTTGTCAGGAGGTCTAATTGCCCATTTCAATCAGCAGTGGTTGAGAGATCACCTGACCAATCCCATTCCTTACTAATGCACATCTTCCAGCTGCTCCGTGCTAGCAGTTGACGGAGGCACGTATAAGGATGTCAGAGACACTCAGCTTGTCTACAATAAGTGCCTGTTGCCCAAACCAAGACCCTGATGGCCGTGTAATACCTGTCTTTCTAGGCTAAGGCAAAAGGAGCCAAAGTTGACTTCGGGGTCAAGTATGCCGACCGGCAGGAGAGAAAATTCAACCCTCAAAAACTCAAGGAAGGAAGAAATATAATTGGACTGCAGGTGAGTGACAACCGACAATATTATTTTCAGGGGATTTCAAAGAAAAAAAACCCACTTGTATTTGCCCGGGGCATTGCCCTACTGCAGGAGTAGCCTAACTTCTGCCCCCAGCTGTGGGGAAACTACAAATCCCGTCATGTGTCACCACAGCTGGGGGGCCAAAGTCCGGTTACCCCCAACCCACAGTAATACAGAGGAGTCCCCACCTCCCTAAACCTCCCGATGAACAGCGTGGTCCACATGTGCAGTGATTGGAAATATAAGGCTTCCACTCTACATCATGGTCACATTTCAGTGCCACTGTTCACCAGCAAATTGAACTATAAAGATTTCGCTCGGAGATAAATGAGAATGGCATCCCTCCATGTTTAAGAGAACCTGTCATGTGATCAATACAACTCTAGCATAGAAACTGGATTGGTACACTGTGTTGGAATTAAAATTTGAGTGGGATTACTCTTAGGCCTTGTTCACACCAAATGCAGAGCAGATCCGGTCAGTTTTCTGCACACGCAGTGCAGTGGGTTGTGCCGCGTTTTTGATGCGTTTCCGGGCCGTTTTTGGTTAAAAAAAAACATTTTTTTTTTTAAAGTTTAACATGGGCTTTCAGGCACTTGCATGTTTTTTTGATGCGGTTTTGCATGCGTTTATGATGCGTTCCAGAGCAGATCCAGAGCAGGTAAAATAGGGCTTGCCGCAGTTTTTTCACCTGCTCTGGATCCGCACGCTGCGATGTGAACTGGAGCTCAAAATACCATAGGAATACATTGGACGCAGTTTTGATCCGGTCTGCACCTGCTCTGCTCTGGATCTGCTCCGCGCTTGGTGTGAACAAGCCCTGAGATGGCAGCTCCAGATACACAAGGAGGCCACAAGGAGCCATTTCAGACCGAATTCACAAAGAAGAAATAAAATGGAGTGTCCCACTGCTTGTTGAGAGTCCAAAGGGGGTTATTCACGAAGGACCCGAAGGATCCAGCCGAAGCTTCGCCCAATCCTTCGGCTCTCTTTGGCTGCCGGAGCCGTTCGGTTCAGACGAACCGAAGGGCTGCTCTACTGGCTATAGTGAATAGCCGAAGGCGGCCGAGTGGCTCAGCCGAGCCGGAGGCATATGCTTCAGCTCGACTGAGCCGAAGTGACAGCCAAAGCGGGGAGAACAGCATTCCGAAGGGGGGCCTTTCGCCCTTCAAATGACAGCTGGGCGGAGCCAGTCGTGATCTCAGTTGTAATGATATATCAGCATCCCCTAATGACTCTAGCAGGTCTCTAGCAGTTGTCAGCCAATAGGAAACAGTTGGGTGGAGCTAGCTACCACTGCTAGCTCCACCCAATTGTGTTTTTTTTTCTTTTAAAAAAAAATCTTTATTTTACTATTTATTTACATTTTAAAAAACATTTTCTACCTTTTTTCCCCCCAACTCTTTTAATTGATTTTCTATTCTGCTCGGTTCCCCCGGAGGTGCCGAGCAGAAAAGCAGAGCAGAATGGCGCTCGGCAGCATTCGGCTATTCACTCGCTGCCGTTCGGCCTCTGTTCACCCACTGCCGGAGCTTCGGCTCTGCTGATCCAGATGTTGGATGAGTCGAAGTCCTTCTGCACTTTGGCTCAGCCAAACATGCAGAACATGTGCAGCCGAAGGCAGTCGATGTACGGCTGATTTCTGTGCACTGTGCGCTTCAGCATGCGCTGACCCCGCCCTGTCATTTTACGTGGCCTACCACTTCATGGCTGAGTTGCTGGTGTTCCCAGTTGCTTCCACTTTGTTATAATACCACTAACAGGTGACCGCGGAATATTTAGTAGCAAGGAAATGTCATGGAACACCTGAATCCAATTATTTGAAGGGCTGTCCCAATACTTTTGGTAATATAGTCTATCTATCTATCTATCTATCTATCTATCTATCTATCTATCTATCTATCTATCTATCTAGCTATCTATCTATCTATCTATCTATCTATCTAGCTAGTACAAAATGACACCACAAGGTGGTGATAGAGGGGGATTTCTGGCAGTAACCAGGGTCAGATGGCTACTCCTACTTAAACTGTATTGCGTGTATGTTGATGCTTTATTTGTCTGTTGACAGATGGGAACCAACAAATTTGCCAGCCAGAAAGGGATGACATCATACGGTACCCGTAGACACCTGTATGATCCCAAACTATCCAACGAACAGCCATTGGACACATCTACTATCAGCCTACAAATGGGCACCAACAAGTGGGCTTCCCAGGTAAGGATTAAAGAAAGATTTGCCTCAGAAGATTATGTCCCTATCCTCTTCCTTTTGTAATACCCATCAACTAAGCATAGCGTAAGCAGCCATTTCGTTCATGAACCATTAGCCATTAAAATACAATCTATCAGACCACTAGGGACTTCGTACCTCGAGGCCCCGGTGAGTTCTAGTATTTTGGTAGGACGTATTTTTTGCTCAGACCCCCAAAATGGCTGCTGAGAACAAAAATGGCAAACCCGCTACAGTAACCCTGTTATTTCTTTTTAGGCAGGGATGACGGCCCCAGGCACCAAACGTCAGATCTTCGACCAGAAGCATGGAATGGATCAGTGCGACACCCAGACCATCCCCTTGCAGATGGGAACAAACAAGGGGGCATCTCAACAAGGCATGACCGTGTACGGTCTCCCGCGTCAAGTCTATGACAGCAAGTACTGCCTGGACAGCAGCCTCTATCAGCTGGGCGATGAGGACGGCCACTACGACAACAGCCATCAGTATCTCAACTCTGAATAAGGGCGCTCATCTTTCCCAATAACCCTCCACATCACCCTCTCCTGTGCCCACCTGTACCTGCTACCGTGGCAGAGAAGGGTGTCCACTGCTGCCCATCCTATGCCAGCATGTGCTCATTGCTCTGGCAAAGGGGGGTTAATGCTACCCACTATCCATGTTTGCTCTTGCAGAGTAAAAAAAAAAAAATTAATGATACCCATTAGGTGCCAATATGCCTCCTGGCACCTAGAACGCTGTATGTCCCAAACCTGCTGTTCTGGCAGAGAATGATCTCTCTCCTACCCCCTTTCTTCTTTCCTGGCAGAAATGGGGGTATAGCTGCCCATTCTGTGCCAGACTGTGCCCGCTACTTTGGCAGTAGCAAAATAAAAACCCATTCCCCATATGTCTGAGGCTACATTAAAAGAGACTGGGAATAAGCTATTTGCAGAGCCTTGCTTTCGTGTTTTTGTTTTTTTTTGCCGAAAAACACAGCTCAGCATCCAAGTGTACATCTGCAGAGCATTGCTCTTTCCATCTCACCGTCAGGTGAGACAGAACATTGCACCCTAACCACCGCGCCGCTTTCATCACTCTTTCAGCTGTATCATTTCCCAGTAGGCTGTGCTGCAGTGAAAAAGGGATGTTAACCGCTTCGTGTCTGGAGGGGGTGTGCGGGGGG